CCAATTTCATTCCCGTTAATTCCTCGTTACCTTGCACGGTTCCCCATCCACTCACAATGTTTAATGAGACAATGCCTAAGCGTGCCGGAAATAAAGAAAGAACTATCCGTGGCGTGTTTCTGACTGGTCTTGTTCATCCTAATCCATCACTTCCCCTAATGACTACGCATCAGATAATAACACTGTATCCCATCGTATTAATGTACCAACCGCTGATAATTCTATTTACAATGTATTATTTCCCAGGTGGGCGGCGCTCAGTGGGGCCCCGCGTTACAGCGCCATATTGATAGCCGCCTCTGCGATAATAATATATCCTTCATCCCATTACGGCGGAGGAGAATCGGCGCACTTTAGCTCTTTTCCCTGCTGCCGTTGTTTAATGAGAAATTGAAATGTTTCAGTGAAATTTGAGGACGCTCGGAGAGGCGGAGGACGGCTAATCACATTGACTGCTCCATAACATATTTTACTAATGTGTTTCCCAGCTAATAGTCTCCCCGCAGATTCAGGGAAATTTATCGCCCAGGATGATGAGCTGCGGTGTAATTAGGTCGGTGTGAAGTTAAGTCCCAGCACACCGCAGAAACTGCTCATCGCAAGTGTCGATCCCGGGTTTTAGAAGATCGCGTTTGATTAGTCAGATTTTTTTATTGCTGAGATCAAATCGAATTCACATCCACTTAAAGGGTTACTCCACTTTATCTATAATATATTCATTTTTAAATGTTTTTTTAATTTAATATTTTTAAAAAATTGTCGCACAAGCCATTTTGTAATTTAATGTTCTTAAAAATTCAATTGCCATTTAACAAGGTAGCTGCTATAACGTTCTAACTCTGTCAATGCAATATGGTGACCTGGGGGCATTGGGTACACAATTGGTGTATGGAACACCCCCAGAAATGTCACTTCCTGCTTCTGTGACTGATTTTCCCAGAAGTCTACACTAATGCTGGGCAGACAACTTACAACCATCGCAAGACTTTTGTCTTGCGATGGTTGTAAGATAATTAAGAAAACGTACGATCTGCCCATCTTGGACAGGCAGATCGTACTTGCAATGATCGCAAGCCGCGCCCCCCTGAGGGTCGGGCTTCCGATGACCGCAGTGCCGAACAGGCAGTGTGCGCTTGCGCACACCAGCACGTCCGTCTTTTATCTTACGAACATGCTACACACCCGCCGAACATCGTACGATGCTCGGCGGGTTTTCAAACATGTTCGTAAGTTAAAAGTCGTGCGACCTTACAGTAGTAGAGGTTGCACGGCTTCCACTCACCTTACGATAATCGTACGATCGCAGGATTTCCCGCCATTATCTTAAGGTGTGTGGGCACCCTAAGATACAAGTATAATTTTTGGCATCCCTTGCAATAGGAATTTCATTTTCGGTGAGATACTCCCTAACAGAAACAAAAAAGTTAAAGCCCCCATCCTCGCATACAAGTTTGTCGCTGTTTTACAGATGTCAGATTTTTAAGGCTTGGCATGTTTGATATCTATGTACTCGATGTCACCTCATCTTTTATATTTTACCAAAAAAGTGTTAATTATATTGTGTTTGTGTGCACAGAAAGCATCAAGTTTGGGTTTGATAAACACTTGTATAAATATTGTATGACAGAAAACATTGCAACTGCCACCACTGTACTCTCCAGGGACTCTTAAAGATTAAAGGAGAACTATGAAGTGCTTTTAACTCACCATCTTTGTGAACATGAAGTGGGTTTTGTATTGTTATTTTATTTTCTTATTACTCTTATTAAGAATTTGGTATCTGTGATCATTATACTTAAACCTATTTTGATGTAATGTCCTAGAATACCTCCAACCTCCCTGAGGAAGCACATACAGCTGCGAAACGCATCGGAGATGGGGCCCACAGTGGATCATACAACTATTACAGAAATCAGGACTCAAGGAGTCCATGTTATACTAATGAATGATATATATATATGTACACATGTATGGGCACCAAAAGGAGGTAGCTTGATTTCAATGTAACATTGTATCATGTCAATGACATTTTAATTGTAACCAAGTCTTTATGTATTAAATATACGTTTATACAAAACCATGGACGTCTTGTATGGTTTGGACACTTTTAAAGCCCCGCTTTTCTTTTCTTGTATACAATTCTAATTGGGGGTGTGGTGCCCATCCCTAATGGTTCAATTTAATTCCTATGCTTGATGCTTTTAACTCACCTCATAGTTTTAGCCGACCTGTGACAATGAGACTGTCACAGATCGGCTCAGTAGATCGGGAGGTGAGCGAACACATACCGGCGTTCGCTCACCTCTCGATCCTGCCACGGCTCTCTGCCGTGACAGGGGAGGGGCTGGATTCCCCCCTCCCCGCTCTGATCCGCCAGCGCTGACTGGCGTAATGGACAGGGGAGGGGGTGGTACAGCTGGCTCTGCCTCTAGATAGCCAGAGCCAGCTGTCACTCACGCAGCTGGGTGGATCCAGACATAATTGTCGGGATCTGCTTCAGCTGCGGCGTCTCAGTATACAGTGAGCTACAGCTCGCGGTATACTGAGCCTAGGGTGACAGGAGGACGCTAGTTTGTGTCCTCCCGTTACCCTAAGGAGAACTATGGGGAAAAGCCTCAACCCCATAATTCTCCTTTAAATAATGACGACGTGCAGAATCCTTTCACCGTCCATCATACCAAGTGCTATCACTGTATAAAATCTGTCACCAAATATCACACCAGCTAATGTCACTGCATTTAATCTGTCAGTGATGTCACTGTGTAGAAAAATGTCCCACAGGCTGTCACACTTATTGAGGCTACAGTATATATAGTCACAACACCGAGTAAGGGTCACTGTCTATAATCCTTCACCGACAATCACATAGACGAATGTCATTATATATCATCTGCCACCAGTTGTCGCAGTGACTGATGTCGCTGTACAACATTTCCCAGAGATTGTCACACTGACTGATACCACTGTGTATAATGTAATAGAAAACAAATTCCCAGCACCCTCTTCTGCTGGTCTGCATGAAAAAAAAAAACAGTTCCACCTTTTCAAGTTAAAAATGGTATCCCTTTCCTCCTTAAAGTGTATTTCCACTTTTGCTGTCAGAACCTCTCCCTATCCTTGTTATGTGATGACAGGTTCTTTTTAAGGAGACATTGAGTTTGGGACCAGTCTTTGGAAGGGGGTTTTGATGTGGCAGTGTGGCTTTGTATCTATTTGCAAGTTTATGCTACAAAACCTTTCATTTTTATGCTGAGTTATTGAAAGAGTTTATTTAGTTTTTTTGTGCTACCTGGAAAGTGTGGAAAGTGTGATGGGGAACTTTCCTATTGCATTATATGTTGCCCTGCCCATGTGCAGGTTTATCCCGTTGCTAGTTATCCCGTTTATACTGACTGTTCAACCGAATAAAGACAGACACGGAGAGACTAAGCGGGTGCTTCCCCCTGTTGGTGTCCGGATTTGTAAAGGGCGGGGGCCTGGCCCCTTGGGAACCCAGAAGGAGTAAGTGTCCTCGAGCTGGTTGTGGTGCGGCTGGGGACATGGATGGAGTGTTATGAGAGGCCTTTTTGGGCTGGCGGACACCCAAAGACCCCTTCTCAGGTAAACCCTTGTTTAAAGTATTATTTTTGTATATTTGGTTTATTACTTTGGTTATTGTTAAAGTGGTTTGTTTAATAAAAGGGCTGCTGTGGCCGTTAAAATCCATGTCGCGCAGTCCGTGTGTTTATTGGGGTTTTTAACGGAGGGACAGAAAATTGACGAATCCATCAGTCATGTCTGACGACCACGGCCATCCCTATAATAAGGTGGCCTGAGGCTGTTGTCTCAGGCGGAATTCACTTTGTGTCTTATGGGAGGGTGGCAGGCAGAGCGGTATGGTCACACGTATCCTGCCCCCAAGCTGCTAAGAGCCGGGTAGGGAGATGTGTAAGGGCCATAAACATCTCCCCACCCAGATCTTACCAACCTGGGCACTCTGGCCAGCATACCGCCCAGCTCCTGGCAATCAGTGACATCAATGGTTACCAGTATGTGTCTTTTTGTGATGTTATTTATGATGTTCTTTATTTATTAAGCTGACACCATTCATATATATTTAAAAACTTTGGTTTCTGCTCAAGCTCTGATTTTGCTAGCAAAAGGCTAAGGGCTTTTTTCCCTTCTGCAGAGGAAGAATATACAGAAAAACTTTTTTTAAGGTGATTTTCCTACACGGCACATATTTGAAGTGCAATAAATGAGTGATACAACTCAACATGAACAAGCTGCATGAAATCTGATCCTGTAACCACTCACTGCTGCTCTTGCTTCTTCCCGCCCACTGTCTCTCTTCAGTCTCATCATGGAGATGCTGTTAAATTTCGTAGCACGGTCATTGATCAGTAAGGTAAATAGGCGTAAAGTGAACCTGAGCTTTGCCAGTGCAGGACAAAGCAACAGCTTCAAGTGTCTGGATAAACTGGAACAACAATTGTGAGCCAAGTCTTCTGATTCAACATCAGAAGCTGACCTTAACTCTACTGAACACCTTTGGGGTGGATAGGGACAAGGATTGCAGGCCAGGTCTTCTCGTTCAACATTAGAACCTGACCTTAATCCTATTGGACACCTTTGGGGTGGATAGAGACAAGGATTGCAGGTCAGGTCTTCTCGTTCAACATTAGAACCTGACCTTAATCCTATTGGACACCTTTGGGGTGGATAGAGACAAGGATTGAAGGCCAGTTCTTCTCATTCCACATTAGAACCTGACCTCAACCCTACTGAACACCTTTGGGGTGGATTGGAACAACACTTGCAGGCCAGGTCTTCTCATCAGTATCTGATATCACAAATGCTGAACATGTTCATATACTGTAGGTGTGATAGGTCAGGTGTCCAAAAACTTTTGCCCACGTAGTATATATTGCTAAATTGCATATTCTACCAGAGTATGGCAAAACACCTGCAAAATGTAAACATACAGAATAAAATGTAACGTGTCACAAGCTGTCACTTACCTTCTCCCCTCTACTGCCTCTTTCTCCTCGCTCTCCTTGCAAACCCTAAATGGAAAAAGAAGATCCAAGTTACTTTTCTCTGAAAGCACTTTCCAATAGTATGATGACATGTATTTATTTAGTATGGACATGATGTACATTCAGTTCTGTCGCAGAGCAACTTGCAGCATCCCTACCACAATAACACATCCTACACTAAAGACAGTCGATATATTTTATCATTGTGGGAATCGGTAAAAAAAGGTTTTGAGCCAACAAGAAGAAGCGGACACCACACCCCTGAATAAAATTGTAACAAAAACTGGGAAGAATAGGGCTTTTAAGGTGTCACTCTAGACATGAAAGATACATCATATTACCAATACATCTTTATTATAAAAAATTTGTTATTAAATAGCATATAAGTAATAAAACATATGCATAATCCATCTGGTACTGTATTGTGTATCAGCAGCAACTCCCTCGAAACAGTATTGTCTAAGACAGTGGTTCTCAACCCGTGTAACCTCGGGACCCACATGTTTCCTTGGTCATTAAGGCGTGACCCAAAAATGATTTAATTTCTGAAACATTTAAATTTATTACACTATTACACAAAAGAACTTGTGCAGTATTCAGCAACATTATATATATATAAGAGAGAGGGGACAGTTTGACATGAGGTTCCACAGGCTGAACCGCAAATTCTCCCTCCCTATTCAGTCTTAGGCCGGTCTATTCAGACATGACGCCGCGACCCACTGCAGAGGGTGTCGCGACCCACTTTTGGGTCGCGACCCACGAGTTGAGAACCACTGGTCTAAGATGACTTTAGGCATTAGGCCTCCCTGGACCCCACGAATACATTCTATTCATCAACTGTATAATAAACAATTTTCCAAACATCTTTTTACTCAAGAACATTAATTCATCCTATAATGTCATTGCAATAAGCATCCTGAAATCTTGCATCAATGTGCCGTGGGTCCAGCCTTCTATGCGTTTTGCCAAAAGCTTCCTCAGGAAGATAAGAGGCTGCCTGTAATGTTTGAATATCTTGATACCTCTGTATCCCCCCTACTCCCTTTGTCTCATGGGCGATGTAATAATGGGACTTTGTCAATTATTTGTGGTGTATATGTTTGAATGTAAATTCTTAAAGATGGCTATATGCATTCATACCCCCGATATCCACTGTGAGCTGTAGTGTCTGGGAGGGGGGAAGATGTGAGACACAACTGAAGGAGGATTTGGCTCAGTCAGGGGAAGGTAAAGGAACTTTATAGTTAACTTTACAAGGGTTGTGCAAATGTACAAGCAGCTTATGTAACTGGATTTGGTACGTGTTTAGACCATAACACAGAAGCCTTCAGTTGTTCTTTGAAACCTAAAAAACCTAATAAAAAAAGAATCCCCTCCCAGACAGTAAATAGGTAAAAAGGTTACTTGGGACCCCTCCTACTCCCATATATCAGCCCAATCCCTAGCTCTCAGCCTGCCTACTTTCTGAAAGGGAGTTCAAACCGACGCACTGCCTCCTAAGTTGAAAGGACTGGTTGAGTAGTGGCTGACCAACACAGTGTCATTGGTTGCTAAGAAGCAGGTGACCCCATAACATCATTAGTTGTTATGGTGCGCCCATCTGCAACATATCAACCAATAAGGATGTGTGGTCTAGCCGTCTGCATCCTAGCAACCAATGGCGCTGTGTGGTTTAGCCGCCTGTGTCCTAGCAACCAATGACGCTGTGTGGTCTAGCCGCCTGCGTCCTAGCAACCAATGACGCTGTGTGGTTTAGCCGCCTGCATCCTAGCAACCAATGACGCTGTGTGGTTTAGCCGCCTGCGTGCTAGCAACCAATGACGCTCTGTGGTTTAGCCACCTGCATCCTAGCAATCAATGACACTGTGCGGCCCAACCGCTAGCGTTCTATCAACTAGGGAGGCTATATGGGTTGCACAGCCTCCAAGCAAACCAAACCCTGGACAGTTCACTCATCACTACAGCACTAGATTTCGAGCAGGATCAACAGGTATTTTCTGTACTTCAAACAAATATCATAAAAAAACAAAACTTTCCCTGGTATGATTAATAGACTAAAAGGGTGAAAATAAGAGAAATTCATTATTAGGATTTACATGCACTTATGGGATTTTAGGTGCATAATTCCATTTACTCCCCAACTATCCAAAAAATAAAAAATGAAAACTTACAGGGGCGCCCACTGGTCCAGGAGCTCCTGGTGGTCCTCTGGGTCCATCTAGTCCCTATAATAAAACCCAACAGCACATTAGCAAAGCTATAGACTTATACAATATAATAAAGATAATAAAATGGTCTAGAATCAGACAATTATTTAGAACACCACACTCAAATTTTCAATACAACAAACCTTTCCCCACAAAATCCTAAGATTTACTATGGCAATTTATTATATAGCTGGAATATGAATTGAAGGTAATATATATATATAACAGAAAACAAACAACAAAACAGACTTTTTAGGCACCACCATGACCACTTAAATTTGTAAGGCATTTCACACCAGTGCATTGAGTTTCCTTGCTTTGTTCTGCCTTGCCTTCTGTTGAAAAAAAGTACAACAGGTTCTACTTTTTTTTAAGCGCAACGCACTGGTGTGAACTGCTAACTCGTGTTGACGGAAAGGCAAAACCTATACCTTACATAGCTTAGTGTAAAGATAAAAAAAAAAAAAAAATGACCCAAAAAATGCAATGTACAGCAACAAAACCGATGTCAATGGACTATACAAGTCAACTTTCCTCCATTGGCTTGCGTTTTTGGTTCTGATTCCGCTCTGAATGCACCCTAAGCAACTTTCCAATAATATTTAATTACAGATCTTCTTTCATTTATTTTTATTACACATCCCCGCTCCATGATGAAATAACATTCATGTACGGGTGGAATTTGCTCATTAACGAAAGCACAAATATGAAACAATTACAATTCTGATTTACTGTATACTCCTCTGTTGTGAACCATACACTGGAAATTCCCTACATCCCAAGCTCAGTTTGGTACATGTTCCCAATGAACCTTTTCAGACAAGGACACGCCTACAGCATGCTGCTTTAAGGACAAAGTTCTTTCATTCTTTAAAATGTACAATGTTGCACACTTTAATGTGGGTCCTCAGTATAATTTCCCTTTATTTTTTATGTTTGGAGTTTTTGCAAAGCAGAGAATGTTGCAAAATGCTAATGCTTTGCTAACATGACACAGTACAGGACACGCCGTGTTCCAGACTAATGTGCTGACCCACATTCTATAAAGCTCTGAGGTTGTTGGAGGACACGGGTGGCTAAAACTGGCCAAGGATGGTGGAGAGTAGGAACAATTCAGCTGTTCAGATTTCCTGGTCCATAAACAGTTACATTGTATCCAAGCCAAAACTTTTTCCGTAGTTTTAAATAGATCGGAGAAGATTTAGGACCCCTTTTAAATTTTAATGGTTCTCTTTCCCGTTTCACCCTCTCTATCTGTCCTGTTGACTCAGGACACCAGGACAGAAGGGAAAATCCCACTTTCTTACTTGTTGCTAGAAAAGGAATAAAGGGGAAACCATTGACAACTCTCACTTTTCTTTAGAGATTTCCTCCCACATCCTCTTGTATCTATAGAAGAGGAAGTAAAAGCTGATCTCTGGGCTCCCCCTATCCCCCTCTTACTAATCAATGACATAAAAAAAATGTATATACTAGTTACCTATCAAAAAGAAAACAAAACATCTAAAAGTCTGTGCTCCTTCACCTGAAGCCGGTCAGGGGGGTGGCCACCGAGTCCCAGGTTGCTAAAAGCTCTTAGCAACCTGTGATGCTCTGTCTGGCATCCACGACATCGCCGATATCACTTCTACAAAACAAGCGGCAGCTTCCCCGCTGTACATTTAGCTCTGCTTGCCCAAAGCAGGGCTAAATGTAGAAAACAACTAACCACCCGGCGCCGGGAACTGCATGTCCCAGGCATCGGGAGATAGGAGTTCCACGCCCCTGCTGCCCCTCTACTCCTTGCTGCCCCAAGGCCGGGCCTTGGTTGGCCTTGTGGGAAATCTGGCCCTGCTGACAGTGGCCCAACCCCCACCCCCTGGACCCACTATTCAGTGACCGTGAATAGTTTAGGGCCAGCCCTGCATAAAACAACAAAAAAACTCCTGCTATTTGTGTTTCTAATGAAATGGTTTTTTTTTGTTTGAATTAAGGTTTTTTTTTATTTTTGAATCGGGCATTTTGACTGAAAGCAGTGATTTATGTATTGACTATTTTTTTTACATATGTCTAATGTGGAACCAAGCACTCTATTCATGTATTCATTCTTTTGTTGTATATTTGTAGCCCTGGTGAAAGGGGCTTTTCTTCTTTCCTCTGTAACGTGATGGTTCTTTTATAAAGTCTTGTATTAGATCTCGCATTGGTAAAAAAAAATTAAAACTTTTGGTTTGGTGCTTCGATTTCAGATCAATTTAGTGATAGAAACATGACTGAGGTCCTATCTCTTCCTCAATATACAAAACTAACAAAAAGGTTTGGGCTAAAACATTAAACTGACCTCTCTGGACTTCCCTATATCACAAGATCTGCACAAAACAAAGGACACTGACAATTTAACTTGTATTCTCCTTCCTTCGGCTTAATAATTATTGCACACTGCACGCTGCTGACTTTGGAAGAGCAAGGCAGTGTATTCCTTCATGAATTCAACTTCTCTGTTGCCGGGCAACTTGTAAAATACTTATATTGGTCTGCATTTCCCCTCACTTGAACTTATAACATTGGTATGAGCTGTTTGTTCCAAAAAGTTTGCGGACTTTCATTAAAAGTAACTATATTCATACCGCCGGTCCCGGAGGTCCCGCGACTCCGATCTCCCCTCTTTCACCTCTGTCGCCCTGAAAGTTGACATTGCAATAGGAGAGGAAGTTAATGATTATGGGTTATACAAGAATATCAGAACTACAGACAGAAGTTATCCTTTTCATGTAGACAGTGAAGGTCCAATGCAAACTCTGAAATAATAACTGGCATTCGACAAATCGTAATTCATTCCCTGCCGTAATTCATTCACGTCTGCGCATGATTTTGCTACACAAAAGGTTTCCATTTCATATCAATAGGAATGCCTGGGTTATATTAGTGTGTAATATACCTTTTGTCACAATAGGTGTTAAGGATAGGCTTAGGATATGTTGGGGTTAAGATAAGGCTTAGGTAATCCACTTTAGGATTAAAATGACACTAAACTCAGGAGTTGAACCTTAAAAATGCATTCAAGTACCTTAAAGTGATATTAAAGCCACATTTTTTTTTGTTTCTCCTTTATGGAGACCCTCCTTTGTTTGAGGATGTTGCTTTTTTTCTTTAAAAGTACTTCATTCTTCAATTTCTAGTGGGTCCCCGCTATGCTCTTCCCCCCGCCCCCTGCACGGGTGCCACCATCGTTCTAATGGAGGCACCCATGCGCGCTCGTGCCCGCAGCGACTGTGTGCGTCCTTAAACACACACAGCCCTGTGGCAGGCCACGCCCCTTCCCTCTTTGATTGATGGCAGAAGGAGCCTATGGCTCCTCTGTCATCAGTATCCACCCCCGCAACCCAGAAGTTCGGGGTACGGAGGATTGCTTCGGGACCAGCAGCGGGGACGATCGCAGCTGACAGGTAAGCGTGGGGGAGACTGGGGGGACTGGGGTAGAAAAAAGGTGCTATGCTGTTTTTACCCTAATGCAGTGAATGCATTAAGGCAAAAAACGCCCAGACCTTAATACTAGTTTAACTATTAACAACAATGTATCTTATTTGTGTATCACTCGGCTGTAGATCCTCAAATCATCTCTGAATTGGTGCTGACACTGTCCTTCCTTCTGGAGGGGGGCTACTTTTGTTTCCCATGGTTGCTGTGTGTGTTCTAAAGTAGTCACCGCTCCAAACTCACCTCTAGAATGGACTACAATCTCCATGGAAATTAGTAAACTAAACATGAGATTGTAGTCCATCATGGGAGTGAGCTTGGAGAGGTGACTACTTTACAACACACACACAGGGACCATGGGAAACAAAAGTAGCCCCCCTCCAATTCATAGATGATTTGAGGATCTACAGTCGTTGGGTTGGGACGAGGCACAGGCAGAAGTGCCATGTTAGGGGAAAGCCCACCAGAGAGGAAGCCCCTCCCCAACCTCACCTGCGGTTTCCTAGTGCCTTTATTACAGAAACAATGAAATTTATCATTTTGATGAGTTATAAACTATACTGCTATGCCAATAAAAAGTCACACGCTTTAATATTTTGTTGGGTCGCCTTTAGCTTTGATTATGGCACACATTCTCTGTGGCATCATTTCCATAAGCTTATGCAATGTCACAACATTTATTTCTGTCCAGAGTTACATTAATTGTTCTTGTAGTGATGATGGGAGAGTCGGACCACTGTGTAAAGTCTTCTCCAGCACATCCCAAAGATTTTCAATGGGGTTAAGATCTGGACACTGTGGTGGCCAATCCATGTGTGACAATGATGTCTCTTGCTCCCTGAATCATGTTTTCACAATCTGAGCCCGATTAATCCTGGCATTGTCGTCTTGGATTATGCCCAATGTGCCATCAATGATCAATTGATGGAAAACCAGGTCATTCAGTATATTCAGGGGGGCAGCATATTTTGAAGAGATAACGGTGTTGATCCTACTGGAGCAACGCCAGATCATAACACAAAATCAAGATGGTGACATTTTTTTTTGGCCAGGCAGTGTATTTTAGTTTCCTGATGGAAGAATTATTTTTGGTTACCATGTTATTGGAAATCTGGTTCTGTTTGAACATGTCTATTATAACTAAATAGCATTGAATTAACCATATCCCAACACTCCTACCCATCTAATTTGGTTTTCAGTAGATCATAGGGTGATGACTCTAAGACCAGTGGACAGGAGCTGAAATTTTTGCACCGTGGGCTTGGTTACTATACTTGCGTATCAGCAAGCTTCATCTGTCTTAGCTCAGGAAGGGGGCACACTCTGTCATCCAGCAGCAGATCAGAACCCAGCAGATCAGGTGATTAGAATTCAGAAGGTTAGAACCCAGCAGATTAACCGATTACAACCTGGGAAATGTGCAGACTGGATACACAGATTTGTCTTTCTAAAAGAAAAAAAAACAGTCCTGAAATTTTTAGTGTTTATTAATTAAAAAACCTTACCCTCTCTCCTTTGGCTCCCTCTCTGCCAGCTAGTCCAGGGGGCCCAAAAGATCCCTAAGAAAAAAAAGATCATCAATGGGATCAACCAGATTTTATATAATTTCCCATCTCAACAATAGGAACTGCATATCGGTTTCTTTGTGCTCATCCATAACATCACAAAATGTCATCAAATTCTCCTTTCTGGGAAGAGAGGAACTGAGCCCTGGCACTTACACAGGGTGGAATGCTCATCATGTGACAGTAATGGGTGTCTGAACAGCCAATCAGAAAGCACCGTCGCTGTCACATGGGTGAAAAGAAATGAGTTTCGTGCTCCCCATACCTGGAGGTTCTGTGTATTTTATTTCACTATTGTCAGCTGAATGGAGCAGCTGGGAAGCAAATGAAAAGAGAGAAAGTGCTGCTGGGGAAGGGTCAGTTAACTGAACATGTTCTCTTGACCTGCGTGGGCAAAGCATAGATTGAATATAAGGGCTCATTCCCAGTAGAACACATTCGAGTTGCATACTCACGTATTTTAAATGTGCTGCACTATTAAAAAAGACTAATTTGAAGTGACTTGAAAGTAAATGCATGCAAATTCAGCATGCAAAAACTTTTTACAGTGCATACACTCTGCTTCTGCATGTCCTGGCAGGCATCCCACCCAGTAACCTCACAGGTTGCCAAGAGTTGGAAGGGATGCCGGCCAGAGCGTCCCAGGTTGCTAGGAAATCTTAGCAACATGGGAAGCTTTGGTCAGAAACATGACTCAAAGAGATGCAGCTTGCGGCAAAAGCTTCAGGCTGCCTTGTTATAGGCATGGCCCTGGATGTCAGACCAAAAAAAATCAATGTTTCCAAAACCGAGCTCAAAATCTAATATAAAAATCCCCCCCTTATGCCCCCTTCTCCGAATTTTACATCAAGATCGATAACACAACTATCAGTCACCCCCCTCATACCAGTGTGCTAGGTCCTGGACTCCGACTTCTCCTTCAGGCCCCACGTTCAATCAATGTTTAAATCTTGCCATCTTCACTTCTGTAGCATGCCCAAAATATGCCCCTTCTTAAACTGTGACACCACCAATCTATTTATTCACTCGCTTGACTCGCATGTCTTCACTATTGCAACTCCATTCTCACTAATCACAGGCTCCCTTCAGACTATCATGAATGCTGCTGCCAGACTCATTCACTTTAACAACCACTCAGCGTCCGCCACCCGTCTATGCCAATCCCTCCACTGGCTTTCGATCACCCAATGAAAAAAGAATCAAAATACTAAGAACAACATATAAAGCCATCCACAACTCTGCCCCCAGCTGCATCATCCACCTCAAATTATCACCTATAGTGTTGTCTCCACTCCTCCCGAGACCTCTTTCTAGCTTTCCCATCACCTCCTTCAGGAAAGCCTATCCCACCCATACCCAACAACTGAACTTTTCTTTCTCCGTCAACTCATTTACAACGTTTTGTAACACTTGTACTTCCTTTTAGAATGTAGGCTCTCATGAACAGGGCTCTCCTAACCCTCTTGTGTTGAATTGTATTGTAACTGTACTGTCTCCACTTGTGTAAAGTGTTGGCACTATATAAATTCTGTGAAAAATTAAGAACAATAATATAATTTTCTTTTTATTACCTTCTCTCCTTTCTCTCCTCTTATTCCAGGAATGCCCGCTTTTCCTTCTTCTCCCTACAATGCATAAGAATCACATTTACAGCTCACAATGCACCTTTTAATATCAATACAATCTAATTTAATTGTAGATCGCAGGAAACAAAATCATACATATGCACATTGGTATCCAATCCGTGAGCTTCCAGGTTGAATTTCTTTTTTTCTGCTTTATCTGGGCAGCTTGGGTTAAATAAACTGCCCGGGGTACTTCTTATAGTGTGTTTCCCCCCTCCCCCCGTGTCCCTCTGTTCGCCCCCCCCC